CGGGCTGCGCCTGCCGGGGGACGGGTGAAGATAAAACCCGGCGGGGAGAGCGCGCGGGCCGTACGTTGGTTAAAGAGTGGCTCCGAAACGTGCGCGAGCTTAGGGGAGCGAGAGCTTCTTTCAGATACTGACAATACTGTTCAGGTTAAGATGCGGAAAATAATAACGTTCTTGTGATCGTTTACGTAAGAAGCACTGGTATGTAGCTGCTCATAGCACTTTTAAAAACGCAGCTGTGCTGCTCAGAAAAAGCATTTTACAGCCTACCCGTGATCTGCGATGTGCCGTAATTGGTTGCACATGTCTTTTTTTTCCTTTTTTTTTTTTTTTCCAGACGTGAATTCTTTCTACAGTGTCCTATTTCAATCTCACACATGCTACAAAGGAACTTCGGGAGTTTTCAGCTTAAGAAGCTGGAGAATATAAATACCCTTCCAAACGCTGCATGCCAGAGTAATGTTATTTATTCTCTTGTTCGTCTTACGAGCTAGAAACTACTATCTCCTCCCTTCCCCGTTTTATACGCGGGGACTTTGAGCACAAAGGAGACTGAAAACTATCCAAGGGCGTACAACAAATCCGTAATTTGACCTCGGGTATCCGGAATCTTCACCTAGTACTCTGTTCACTGGCCCGCTCTCTCATGTTTAGGAGCAGAGTAAAATGTTGCTAGCGTGAGTATCTGAACGTCAACATCAGGCACCAGCAAAACCTGCAGTCTGCTTTAATGTTGCATTCAGGAACATGTAACTTGCTTAGGCACTCAAATGCCTAGGAATGGATGCCAGGGTAAGGAGGAGAGTATACACAGGGAGGCAACTCATACGTTTCTACCGTGTTTGGGGAGAACGATCCTTGCACTGCTTTATGCGCCTCCATTTCACGCAGATCGGGAAAGGTTGTTTCTGACTTTGATTCAGACAACTCTGCTCATGGAGAAAGCGTATTCGGGGAGGAGGACAGAGCAGTATTCATTAATCAGCTAAGCCACATTCTTCTGTGATGCCACTGGGCTTCCGCTCTTGCAAATTGTTTCCATGTGTGCTGTGGCTAACTCAGGTCTGATTGTACTTTTACTCCATCAGTTTAATATGGGAAGGGAGGCGAAAACAAAGCATAGCTTAGAAAGCTTGCTTTCAGCCCACTGAAATGTAATCACCATTTCAGATACACAAAGAGCAAGATCCCACAACTTTTTGGCTCTGGCCTATTTTAGAGCATAGGGTCTGAATTGCAGATGAAATCATGAAAACTAACTTATCTTACATTGATTTTGGACAGCTTTTTCTGTATGGTTGATGTATCTCCAGATGCATCTGACCAGCGGTGCAGCTCTTCCTTTGCAGAATGGAGCCAGTCCGTGAATTCATGCACAGCATCAAGGTATAGCAAATGATCCTTCACAATATCTTCCACTTTCCTCATTTTCTCCTATCATTCAGATGAAAAAAAAAAAAAGACCATTAAAGTGTTTAAATACTGTCCTGGCTTTAAGCACGCAGTTATAGAGAGGGCTGGTCTGACCCTATAGCATCCATTTGAATGCTGAATAGAGCACAGCTTATAGCAGCAGAACACAGTGCTACACTCCACAAGGTTTGGTTTAGGTTGGTCTGGACAGGTGTGTTCTGCTGGAGCAAAAGATGAAGAAGCCTTCTGAAAATGTATGCAAAAATGTACTTTAACACATCCTTTAACATCAAATGTATCGTTTAATAGACGTCAAAGCTGCAGCTGTGCAACTCTGGCACGCTTTTCCCAATACCCCCTGGAGAGGGTCTTACAGATCACCCGTGAGTCCTCCCAGGGAGCAGCATGCTGCCAGAAACATAGCTCTTATTTAGAAGCACCAAGTCTCTATAAATGCAAAGCAGAGTCAGAGAGATGTCCCATATGAAGACCACAAAGGAGGACTTCTGCTGTTCAAAAGTGCAAAAGGTTCTTATGGTGCTGAGTCCCATTTTAACCATCAGATTAGAAGTGGTGGTTGTCCCCGGCCACCTGCCTTGCAGCCCTGGAGGACACTTTCCCTCACACAGATGTACGACAGCTTCATGGCTCCATCTTAGCTTTTTAACGTAAGCTTAAAGTGGGGCCAGCTTACCTTACTATGAAAAGGTGAAATAGTGTACTCATCTAGATTTGCCTTTGGTCTGACTGAGCAGATTTGTTCTTATATTCTTGTGAGCTAACACCGAGGAATGCTTATCAAAACTAACCAAAAGTGAACCGAGCTAATCAAATAGCTTTTTACTCCTGTGTGGATACTCTAATCTAGATCTAAGTGTCCTTAAACCAGTTTCAAACTAAACCACTTATGAATTAAATTCCACTTACTGAGTTGAATTTTGAATAACTCAACATTCAACTAATGCCTTTAAAAATTAAGTTAGTTAGATTAATAAGCCCTACTGTTCCCTCTGAAAATAATCATCATAATTTCTCAGAATGTGTCAGACCAACTAGACAATGGATGGTTACTAGCTAAACAAAAGTGACCTGAAGTAAATCCTCAAAGTTTTAACATCTTAATGCATTTTATGCAACAACAGAGTAAGAAAATGTGCACATGTGCCTGACTCTAAACAAAATAGATAGCTTCCTAGTGAAGCAAAGAAGTCCCAGGAAAGCCAACCACACACTGCTGTTTACTTTGCTCGCACCAAAATATAGTACTAGTAGAGGGGGAGAGTGGAGGCAAAGTGCAAATTCAGTTGGTCTCTTCTGGTGGCAATGGCTTCTACCAGTTGCAGTCAGTGCTGTTCTCTCCCAAGGGAAAGACTGCAAAACTGTCTTTCTTGCTTAAGAAATTAAATTTATAGATGCATATTGATTTTAGGAGAACACTGCCATGCTGACTTATGATACTCTTTTCGCACAAGTTTAAAAGCATTGTATTGAGTGAGTCAGTAGAGAAGTAACTCTACTTCTTTCAGCAGCGTTAAATGGAGAACAATACGCTCTAGAGCTCTAGATTTAACGCTGCTGAAAGAAGTAGAGTTATACAAGGATGAAACTGCACTGATTCTCTAGAAACCAGGTTCATAGCTTACTATATCCATTAAAAAAAAGAGCAGAAGTTCATCATAAAAACAAAAGTGTGTGAATAGATTGTAATTACAGACTAGATACATCTGAGAGGGCTATAATATCTATGGTCTATGTTTAAAGCAATAAAGCAATGACAATAATAGTATATCTTATCCCACAAATAAAAAAAAAATCCGAACCCAAAATGCATGATTCCACAAAATGACTTTCCTTTATCAGGTTTAGTAAGAAAAATGCAGATTTTTACTAAAGAAGTAAATTCATATGCCCTAGATTTCACATTTTTCCTAACAGATAATTTGTTAGATCTTCCACTTATTTTTTTACTTTGGTACTCTTTTTTTATATAGACTATTGATTGATACCTACAGGCCATCAGCTCTATTCTCAATACATGAAGACTCAAATCACACTTCCATCAGATTACTGAATTTATATACAGTGTTTACTTCAGTCTCACATTAGCCTGTTATTATGTGGCCTCCTCCTGATGCAAACTTTCCCATTAGCTGAGAAGGGGGAGACTGTAACTCAGAGCTAGCGTCACTGTCGTGATCTGGTTGGCAGAAGGTCTCAGTGAGCTCACGTATCTTTCCTTAGAAACCAAAGAGAATACCTGTATAGCACGTGCAGTGCTTAGTGGCTTGAAACACCACAAAAGATGGGCATATATCTTTCTGACAATAGGATTTCTCTTTCTGACAATACATTTTCTGCTCAGGGAGGCATTTCACTCTTCCCTTTCTAGGTAAAAAAAATACCGCTAGGCATGAATGGAAAAGAATTAGATGACAATAAATCTGGGATAATGTCAGAAATATTGTTGCATATATGAAACTAGGAATAAAATATATGCCTTTCACTCTTCAAACATCATAACCATACCAATTACAATTCCCAACAATTTTTTTGCATTCCAGCGAATTTTAGTAAACTACATCCAACTTTTTTGTTAGACTCAACCATAACAAAAGGCAAGACTATTCAAACACAGTCAATCCTTTAGTTACTAGAAAATTATGAAAATCAAAATTTTAGCCTTATATACAGATATCTAAACATTTTACTTGAAATGGAGGCCTTTGCCTTTATCTTACCTTGGCTACAGTTGTGATGTCATTAAACTGTGCTTTTAGTTCTTCTTGAGCTGCTTCTCCAAAAGAATCATCCTCTGTTTTTTCATACAGTTCCACAGCTTTTTCAATGAGTTGCTGTAAATCACTGGAGTGATCCTCTATCTCAGAAACAATAGCCTGGAAGTGGTCCAGCTGAGCAAACTTCTCCTTCAGACCAACCTGTGGTTCTAAAGGCTGCTCCACTTTGTGATCCAGCTTCTCTAACCACTGCTCCAGCTGGTTTTTCCTTTCCAGATATTCATTCCACTGGGTAATGACAGACTCTAGGCAGCTTACATTAAAAGAAACATACACAGTACAGATGAGAACTTTTGAAAGGTCTGAAGAAAAAGAGCCTGCTTATACCTTAAGTGTCACACTGCCTGTAGCCATGTATAATATGTTTAGAATATGCTTTTTCCCCCATCTTGCTTTAGTTTTCTATGTCAACTCACATCCAAGCTATTCTAGAATTTCTGTGTTCTTCGGGCTACTACATATAACCTGATACAACTGCTTCCCTACCACAGGTTACATGAGCAATCTGTCTCGGACTAATGAAAAGCACGTTTCAGTGTCTGTCCAGCAAAGTAAAATACAGAGCGTTACTGGAGTTCTTTATGATTAGAGTAATAAAATGTACAGCAGCCTATGTTGCAAATTATTGACAATTAAGAGATAATCTGGCAAGTTTTGGAAGAACAAATCAATTGTATATAGTCTCATTTACAATTTATAAGAAATACTCTCTTCTGTTATATATTGCTCCTCCTAGCAGATTGCCAGATTTCTCTGGGATTTGTGTTGAGGAATGTAATTCTCATCCCACTGGACTTAATGATAGACATGAATGTGGTAAGGATTTCATTCAAAATGTAATGGTCTAAATCTAAATAATATTTTATGACAAAAATTGGGTGAAATTAGAGTGGAATCTTAAAGGCAGCCCATTATAATTTTCTTCATATAACTGTATTACAATTTTTGAATAATTAAGGAAGTGGCACCACTTTCAACTGAAAAACTCCAATTTACCTATATTATGGCTCCCACCATTGACAGCTGATATTTAGGACGCAGATAGCCTAGCACTCAGATTATCTAAAATACAGATCTATGACCTTTCTGATGCAGATCTATGAGTTTTCTGATGCAGGGAAAACTTTGTTTTCCTTAGTTAGAGAACTAAGGAAGTAGGATCATGCAGAAGTTCACCGAGGGCCCATTTCTACCCGGTAATGACTGGGATGTTGCAACGGAGAGTGCTTGTAAAATGCACAGATGAAAGCAACCAGGGAGCGGCTGCAGCTGGTTTGGATGACAGGATTTAAATGTCAGATGTTCTTAAAAGAAATTTTAAAAAGATGGAATTTGATGATGAAAATAATGCTTTACTTAGGAAGGAGAAATCAGATACACGAATACAAAATTGGGGATAACTGCCTAGGCTTACCAGTGTGGAAAAAGATTTGGGAGATAGTAGAGGATAAAGAAGTAAACAAAATTCAGCAATATGATACTATTGCAAAGAAAGGAAAATCTCATTCTGGAGTGGATTAAGAAGAGTGTTGTATGAAGGAAATGGAAAAGTACTGATACTCTATTCAGAATTAATAAGGTCTCAAATACAGTAAGAGGTCAGCCCACTTTCAGTTATTATCTTTTAAGAAAAACATAGACAAATGAGGGATAGTCTGCAATCTATTGAAAAAGAAACAAGGATGAAAGAGGTCCAGGAAGTATTAGTAGTGAGAGACATCAGTCTGTCTAGAACAGAGATGATGGAGGCCTTCAAATATGTAAAATGGTCTCACACAGGCAATAAGAAAAACTTTCTATTTCTACCAAGGTTAAGACAAGAAGAAATCAGCGTAATTTGCAAGAAAGATTATTTGGAGTGGATATTAGGATTTTTTTTTTAATTAAAAAACATAATGAAAGACAGAATTGAGAAACCTTCCTAGAGTTGTGTAAGGAAAAGGTAGATAAATATGTCAGATGTTCTTGGTCCTGCCCAAGTACAGGATCAGTAACTCAGAAAGCCCTTTCTAGCTTTTTCTCTGTATGAATTTGTATGATTTCTATTTATTTTTAAATTACCGTCAAGTACCATCTCATATGAAATTTGATTCATCTGATAGGTCAACTCATCTTTTTTATAGAAGGATGTATTTTTTTCAGGCGATTTTGATTCTTTCTGATGATGCAACTTTCCCCTCACATACCAGTAATGAATGAATGGACTCCTATGTGCTGGAAGGTACCATTCTTTGTAAGCAAAGATGGCAGGGTCTGACCTGTGTTTTCCAGGGAGTTTTACCTCTGCCAGTTCACTGAGGTGCTGATGATGTCATTCCATACTTCCTTCAGCGTCTGTAGCTCAGTTTGTATCACCTTTTGTCCTTCCTCATTGCTGCTTCTAAGTGCTTGTTCTCCTTTGCCAATGGCCATGTTCAGCTTAACTTCACCATCACCTTTGAGTAAGAGGATCTCCTGTGAGGCAACATAAGTCAAAATATAAAACGCAGTCTGCTGAGAGGTGAAAGCTGTTATTCTTTCAACAGTGGACACCATCTTCTCTGAGCTCATTTATCCTTGACAGCCATGCCCAGTATGAATTCTTAGGCACCTTTTCTTTTAAGTGCCTGTCCTTTGCTATGCGCAAGTGATCCAGCAGTTTTTCCCACAGCCACACAGGTATTCCACTGCATTGGTCACCCTAAAATATTGCTCACACTGCAGTAGATAATGAGTAGGTCAAGCACTGCACAGAAAGACAGCACCACATAGCCAGAAGAAATCTCAAGAAAGCCCGTGGTGGGATCTCCTACACTGATGACCTTCCTAATAGATGTTTATCATCTAACCTGTTCCTGAAGACCTCCCGTGACAGATACATCACAGCCTCTCTGCGTCAATTATTCCAAGGCTTCCCCTCCATTAGAAAGCTTTTTTGGACCTGAATACACATTTTCATAGTTCATTATTCCTTATTAAATGTAGTACCTGGCACCTGTCTCCATTACACTTCATCCTGTTTTTCATACTGCACCTCCCAATTTGTCAAGAACACCTTAAATTCTAATCCTCTCCTTCATAACCGTAGAAAGAATAAAACATAAAAATACTCCTTTTCCACTGACGTGGCCCACACCCAATATTAACCTTGATGCGTAATCTCTAGTTGTATCCTTCTTTACCTGAATTTGTGTCAGTCGTCTCTCTAGTGTAGCTTTGCTACCAACAGTGCTCTCTGATGACGCCAGTTTATCTTGAACCTCTTTCACCCATGACCACATACTCTGCAATGCCTCCTCCAAAGTGAGATGCTCTTGGAGTGCAAGCTGACATGTTCGCAGCTTCTCCTTAACAGTTTTGACCATGTTTTGATAATTGGTGAGATGTTGAGAGACCAGGCGCACTTCCCTCCCTGCACCATGGCCTTCTTCATTTAAAGTCTGTGCCATTTGGGACAGCTTATCAAAAGATTCCCTGAAACAAAATATTGAGGCTGAAAATCAGTTTCAGAAAGCATATGATATTGTTATAGCAACTATCAGAAATTATGAAGATTGCTGACATAATCACCTACTCCACCAGTGATAGAGTTCATAGTTAACAGAAAAATTAGCTGGGAGAGACTGAAAGGAAATATAAGCAGTGTGTATTGATTAATATCTTTACTTGTGTACAGTGCCATTTCTTGCATTGGTGCTCAAAATGATCACACTGAAATCTTTGCGTTACACATTTGCATTAAAAGCTAACAATTTTCTTTTCGGCTGTCAGATTTTCCAGTTCTATATGAACTGCTACCTTTTTGTACCTGTCAAAGCTTCTGAGAAGTTTATAGTCTTTGGCAGGTAGGAAGGCATGATGGAAAGGTCAGGCCATTTGTCCAGGATTAGACACTGACTTGGGGGTTCAGTACAAGGGTCAGTACAAGGTATTAAAACACTGGGTTTATACAGCCTCAGTTAATCTCAATCTGCTGGATCACCCTTCCTGATACCCTGTGATTACAGGGAATTTACATCAGACCGAAACTTCTTGCACCACTCTCAAGGGGATAGGCAGAGACTGGGTGTTCCCTTCTAGCATGCTGTGAGGCTTGAACAACTGACTACTATTTCTGTTCTATCTTCACCAACCTAATAATAAAAAAAAAAATTTGAAAAACCACAGTGTACTAAAAAAGGCAATTACTTCATCATCTATTGGCTAAGTCTGAATTCTAGAAAGATTTTGCAGCCAATGTGGATGTTATTTGAGCTCTTTTAAAGTCAGCTGTATGGGAAAGTGGATTCTGCTAGCCTGGTTGGATCCGAGTGTTGCAGGACAGAAGGAAAATTTTAAAATGGATATAATGATAAGTGTCATTTTTACTATTGCTCTTACAAGCAATATTTTTAAGATTTATTTTTACAAGCAATATTTTTAAGATTTATCTTTTTAAGATAATATTTTTCAGTTTCCATTTATTAATGAAGTAAGATAAGCTTTTCTTAATGAGAAATGTATCAACATCAAATTTCAGAGTTGGCTTCAAATTCCAATTTCCTTAAAACTGGAAGTATCTGGATTCAGCCTCTTTTCACACAGTATGTTGCAACACCTTTATCTTTCACAAACACACTTTACCCCAACAGTTTCGTTTCACTGTTGCTTTAGCAGAGGAAAAAGTGAGAGTATTTTAGGAAATGTATTTCATACTACCTTGAATTCAGTAACTCTTCCAGGAACTTTTCCACTTTCTGCACCTCCTTTTTCTTCTCGGGAATAAGCTGTTTGCTCTCTCCTAATGCTTCTGTGCTTATTCTTTCTTCCATGTCATGTATCCACAGGCCAAGTTTCTTGTGCTGATCTTCAAAGCTACAGAACAGATAAATACTCCCTTAAAAATGTTTCTCAGGTGGAGTAAAGTTAGTAAGAAGTTAACTCAGTTCTTTCAATATCCGCAAGACCAGGAAAATAAAACTAGGTATCAATTTCATGCTTCAAGAATAAGAGTTGTACACAAAACATAATTCCATGGTGACTACTAAGCTAAAAATATTCAGCAACTCTCTAAAAATGTCCAGCAAAATCATGGGAACTACACTGAAAAAAGAAGCCTCCAAAATTTAAAGTGACAGTACTTTTATTTATTACTAGATTCAATAAAGACAGATGAAAAAAGCCTTTTCCAAATCCTTATAATGATTTAGTCTAAGATTAAAAAATGGATAAAAATGGGCTTTTACTCAGTATTGACACTTACAACACCTGAAGTGTTGTGCTTTCAATTTCTCCAACAGAACGTAACTGGAATCTGGAGTGCTCAGAACTCAGCAAAACAAGTTCTGGCCCTAAGTTTGAAAACCTTTTCCTTACATGAAGGCACACCGTCTCGTCTTGCTGTTTTACCCATTACTGCTACACTAACTTTGCTTTCAATTAGCAACAGTTTTGAATCTAGTTATACCTAAAAATATTTGAACTCCCAAAATTCCAGCCCTAAGTAATAATTTAAGAGTGTTTTCTTACTGGCTCCTTAGGAAATATGTCCATCTGGAATGGGACAGGACAGACGCATGCTGTGTAAAAAGCATGCTATCTTCAAACCCCAGGGCAGAACTTGAAAATTCATCACACCTTTTTCTTCCAGGAAATTGCATTTAAATTACTGAGATCCCAACTGCTGATTTGGGATTGCATGAGCTACACAGATCTTCTGCATATATGATCCTGACCTTCTATTCTTTAACCAAATCAATACCCTTGGAGCAAGACCTGTTGCTTTGTTTTTAGCAGAGAACTTCATTTTCTCTTAAATATTCCAAAGAAGAAAGCAAACAGGACTAGAAAAACTGGAAATAATTTCCAATTGTGCCCTGTATTTCTGCAGCTGGGCAATTTCATGCAGTCCATCTGTGACTACTGGTATTACTCACCTTCCCAGGTGTAAGGCACAAGCTTCCAGGGCCTTCTTATCATTCAGACACCGGTTGAGGAATTCCTGGAGGTTCTGGTTAGACTTTGCTATTTGCTCCTGAATATGGCTCACAAGTGGTTCGGGTAAGCAAGCATACAAACTTTCTCCTTCCTTGCAGGCAGCATCTAACTTGTTCTGCCCCTCACTAACAGAATCCAGCACACTCTGTGTAATGAAAGAATACAGTTTAAACATGCAAGATTGAATAACTAAAAATAAGCAATATTTCTATTAGAAGTGGTTAGATTTCCCCAACAAGATGAGAGCCATGTCTAGCTACGGAAAAAATTCTAAGCAGATAGTTCAAATAAAATTTTATTAAGTGGTGCTGCAATTCACAGAGCTCAGTTTTTCTATTTGGTCCCAAGGTAGTCCTGTCTTTCTCTGGATAGTTTAGTCATGTCCTGAAAATGTTATATATTTCAAGAATTAGGGCTGTTTGCAGTAGGTGTCTGCTATCTGTGTTCTGTCCCATCAAAAATCTACACAGATAAGCTTTGACATATCAGTGTTAATCTGAAAGATTGAATAAGCAATAGTGTAAGAAAAAGTAGGAAAAAGAAAAGAAGAGAAAGAAGGCAAAAAAAGGAAAAAAAGATTAAAAATCAGAAATAAGAATAGTTTAGTTACACATAAACCTTCCCGAAATTAAATTCTGATCTCTCAGAACAGTGAACAGTTTCCACTGTGTTCCCTCTACAGTACATATTGCTGTCTTGAACCATTCTTATATTACCTTTTTGGAAACAAAACCAATAAATATGATAGCATCTACAAATTACTTTAGAGATACAATTGGATACATATAGTTAAATTGCTAATTACTGTTTTTTCAATTTGTTCACTATACCTGCAAGTCATGTAGCTTTGCCTCTATGGCTTTGCTGTCTCCAGACCTGTCAGATGATTCTTTTACTGCAGACTTCACACCAGAAAACCATTCCTGGAATTCTTGCATAGAATCTTATTTAATAAAAAAGTATAGAGAAGAGAATATTTTTTTTAAGAAGCAGCATTATCCACAATACTATACAGCTGTCTTCCACAATTCTTTTATCCTTCAGGAACAGCGTGTAAAAGCTAACAGGATGAGTCTCATTGCCTTCAATGACCTTGGGGAGTGGGATTCATTTCACAAAAAGTTACATGTTTCCACTGTAAACATCCAAATTTGGACAGTCACATTAGGCTCCCCTTTATAGTCAATGGGAAAAACCCAGGCATTTTCAGTCTATGATATGACCCAATTTAATGTTAGATAATATCTAGATTAATATCTTAATATATAAGATTAAAAATTGCCTATTTCTCTCCACTGACTACCCAGGGAGCCCAGGAAATACTTCAGATGGGGACTTTTACATTATAAACATCTCCATTTGGTTATATGCATCTCTTTATGGCAAATACACAAAGTATATGTATGCAACAGAGATGTATATTAAGAGTGAAGAAAGGTGGAGCTGAGCTTGCCTTTCATGCATATTACATGTTTAAAGTTGAATTCTGTTTTTGTAAAATGCTTTGTTTCGTAGCAGTTATCAAATAAACATTTGGTAACAGGACTTTTTGAAAGGCTCCGTACAAAAATAAAGTTGTAATTGCAGGTGACATCACTGGAGACTCTGGCAGACTCCAGAATGATTCACTGCTGCGGGCTAACGGCTCATATTAACACGCCTGAAGACTCACGGAGGAAACGTTTTTCCAAGGAGTCTTGCATGCTGGCCTGTGTTCTGGAACAGAGCTGATTCACAGCTTCATACTTCTTTATTAGCGAAGTGACAGTGCCACCAAGAGTTTCCAGCTCTGCAGAATGGTATTTGCGACACAGGCTGTTGAGGTTCTCACGTGTCGAGTCAATGCTGCTCTGCTGAAGCTGAAGGTCTCTTTGTGTTTCCTGAAAATGAAGTTACAACACAAATATGACATTTGTAAAGAAACAAAAGAGCCCTCTCTTTTCCTCAAGCATTCCTTCTCCTTCCATATGCTCTTTCCTTCTATGGTCTATTGCAAGTCCTAGACACAATGAAGGGAAGAAGTACTGGATCACGTTTCCTGAATTTTCCAAGTGAGATGAACCCTTGAAATGAAAGAACCGTCACAGAAATGTGAAAAATGCTGTTTCTCATGGTTTACTACTTTATTAAAAAATAAATAAATTTCAAGGCATATTGAATAGCAATAGTTATTTTCAGCAAAGTCTGAAGGTACATGTGAGATGCAATATGACAGTGGTATTTGGCGGGACTTCTGAATGAAAGGGAGTTTTCATCTTACTAGAGAGGAACATTTGTTTGAAAATTAAATTTGAATTAGCTAGTATATCAACATTAACATGTGCTCACGCTGAAAAAATCTCCATGTGGTTTGTCATGTTATGATGTGCATAATTGTATGCAATCAAGAGAGCTCTAGGATGTAGACATATGCTATATATGAGGACTGAGGAGGACTTCTGAGGTAGAAGTTTGTGTTAAAATTTGGTTCAGTCTAGGGTCTTCTACTGTGATGAGTTGTAAGTTCATAACTTATATTGTAAGGGAGTCAATGGACTTGTAAACATGCTGGAGTAATGACTGAAGAGTTCAATGTAACAAAACCGGTTCTTGTCACAACAAAGACCATATTATTCATTATAATTTTCTAAAAGGTTTGTATGAAGTTAATAGATCAGAACTTTTGTTCATTGGTGGAACTTCTTAAAGAGTATCGCTGTATTATTTGCCAATATTCTAGCAGCTGTGCAGGAGATATATATTTTTTATCAAATGAAAATTAAGTATAATGCTTAGCAAAAACTCTGATAAAAAACCAAAGATCACCGCATAACGAAAAACATATTCATTTTCTTCAGCACCGACCTTCACTTTATTTAGAGCTTCAGGATCCAGGTTACATGCACAGCTTAACAGTGTCTCTTCCGCTTTTGTTAACCACTCTGTCATCTGATCAATAACCTTCTGTAACTGCATCTTCTGAGTACTGAAATCTTTCAGTGTCTCTTTTGCCGTCTCTGACATTTCTTTGGCGTGTTCCAACTTCTGCCTCAAATCTGATTCTATAAACTAAAAGCAAAATGTTATGTACTAAAGCATTTAAATAAAGCATTTATTCTGTTGAATGTTTATTGAAAAAATGGAAGGTAGGAAAGTGACACACAATGATCGTTTTGCTCTCTTTACATCCGTAACTAAAGATACTTACATAAACAAAAAAATGTCAACCATTCAGGATTAAGTCTTAGATATACAGTAATCCAAAGAAGGGATACTAACTTATAAAAAGCCAGACTGCAAACTTTTGAAGTTATTATCTACTTCTGAAAAATTAAACAGTTGATGTTTTTCCTTTACTAATTTGCCATATATACAGAACATGACCTAAACACGACTAGCTCCATAAAAAGAAATATCAAATGGTGAGACTTAAGAGCACTGAGGCTTAAAGTATCTCAGTGAAAGCAGATTAAAACTGAAGACAATACAAAAATAAGTTAGAATATTGCCCATTAACCTGTTCAAAGACAGCAGTATGTGAAATTATAGTAGATGTTAGCTGTGCACATATTACTAATAAAAAGTAAATCAAATCAGTCATAATAGGGTAATATTTATAAATAAGCTACTACTGAAAATTCTATTAAGGAATTGTTTATGTTCTTAGGATATGAGCTGATCACACTAGTTCATCTGAATGTTGGCAAATGATTTGGGGATTTATGTTTAGTTTGTGAGGCTTTATTTTCAAATTTGCATTTATATATCAACTACAATTATTTTGTTGTATTGATTTAAATTTTTTATTGTATTTATCATATTTAGTAGTTGGAAATAGGTGTGTGTTGGTTAACTGATATTCTGCAAAATAATTTGCTCTAAGTTTCGCTCTATAAGTGGACAGATATTTATTATGAAACGCATGATTAAATTTGAATTTACTGAACCTCTCATGTAAAGGAAACAATTTGGGAGAACAAAGGATTCTTGACCCATATCTGATTGGTAATTTAGGTTTATGTGTATGGTCATGGCAAAATGTGGACAAGGCTTGAGTGTTATATTAAGTTCTGTTAAAATCTGATAAATGGTTTTGAAATAAATATCTATCGAGATATTTCCCTGCCTGTGGAAATCGCAGAAGTCAGCTTATCTTTTAAACCTTCTGACATTGAAAGTGAATAATCTCACATACCAATTTCCATTTGAAATCAAACATCCAAAATAGTCATACTTTGGTTTTGCATTTGCCCTAGAACATAAAAAATAAGGACCTGGCCAAAAATAAAAGTTCAACAGCTCACCTTCAGTGTTCGTATTTTACCCCTCTCTTGTAACAGCTAGTTCAGGGCACAAATTCCAGTCCACTAAAGAATACTTTGGGTTTGATAAAGCAAATGAACATATTTTACTGCATTATAATTCTTTCAAAGAGGCAAACTGTATGCACTCACATATGATGTGGCTTAATGTTGTGCAGTGTAAAGAATATCATCCGTCTCATATCTGATCAGCTACTTTATAAACTATTTACTCTATTTTGATTTAGTAAAAAAAACTTTTAAAACTGTAATGTTCAATTACTTTATAGCATATTTTTTTCAGAAAAAATCAAAGTTAACTAAAGAAATATGAACAAAGAATAGGAATGAGACATATAAATAATGCTGTATCTGTCACCTTGAAAGAAGAAGACAGTACAGGAGAGACAGAAATTTCAGGAGGAGTTTCTTCTTAGTCATTTGAGCACAGTCTGTGATTACCAATGTCTTTATTTTACCTGGAGATCTGCAGGAGGCTCTCGACAATGGGTCAGTTCTTTGAGATCTGAAATTTTGGAACTAAGCTGCTCCAACTTCAGTTCTTTATCCTTGACTTCAGACTGTAAAAGAGATGTGGTCAAAGTTTCATACCAAACTACAAGAAGGTTTTAGACTTTCAGAAGGATGCTCCATCAATTAAAAAAATGAAAGAAAATGTAAACAAAGTTTAGCAACCATAGGGAAAACACTGTTGTTCTATTAGTTTTATTCTCTAAAAATCTCCCATCTCTTTTCCTTTATTAGACTCAGTTCAGACATTTTCCCCCCTCCATTAAAATAACCACACACATTTTTAGCATTTAAAATGCACTAGCAGCTTTAGTTTCTTAAAACTGGCTGAATAAAGATGGGAATGTCATTGTTTATTTGACTGGAAAAATCTACTGTGGTTGTTAGGTTTCACTTGACGGCATGCAGAGTATAATACATGTGCTCTCTGGTTTTTATTACAAGGAAGTGAGCTCTCAGAAAAAAATTAGTCACAGAAATAAATTTTAACCTCAAAAGGGAATTAAAAAATGCTGCTATATATGCACTGACATATCTGGACCTTGTATTTATTGTGGTTGTATAGATCCAAGTTATGAAGAAATATTCTACTTATTAAAAAAATAATAATAGCAAAATGAAAGAGAAAATCATAATTTGTGTAATTGTAGTTCTGAAGTATTAGGCAAGTAATTGGTGTGTGCATCCTATTACCCAAACTTTCTTTTCTAAAAAATTCAAACAGATGTTTTTTGAAATTTTTGTGCTTGTAAGAACACACTGTCATGTATTGCTAGAGCCAAAATAAGTATGGAGCTTAGATTTAGTAAGAGATGTGCCTTTCTTGTTTCTGTCAGAAGCAAACAGCTTCAAAAAAGGACTGGAATGCTGTCAGCTAGCCATCGGGTTAGCGGTACCGCTGCTTGAACAGGGGACATGGTGGTCTACAACAGCACAGCCTGATCACTTGAGATTTTGGTCCAGAACATTTTTATCACTTATTTATGGGTAAGCACCTGGAAATCTTTCAGGAGGACCTCCATTCTCTGACTGTTACTCAAGTTGCTGATGCCTTCATTCAGTTGAGAAATGCACTTGTTGCACCATCCATGCATTTCATCTCCAGTTTTCAGGATGTCATCCCATAGAGACACACTTACACTCAGCCGGTCGATGTTGTCTTCAATTCTTTCAGACACCTTTTAGGAGAGGAGAATTTATCGATACCATTCACAAATTAATTTCACATTTCTTTATTTTGCAGCCAGTTGTAAGACAAGGACATCAGAAATAATTAGTAAGCCTGGGCAAAATGATTTTCTTAGAGTTAGGTCTAAGTTCTGAATTCTAATTTCAATTTAGTTACCCAGATCGTAAAATGAACAAAAATTATATGTGACTGTTTCCAAAAATTTGTATATTTTTTACTGGGAAAGAGTTTTATGTTCAAATAAACTTTATCTTTAAAAACAGCTACATTTATATTTCTTACGTAATGCAGGAATTTGTTAATAAAGCAGTATAAATATGAAAATGTAAAATATTAACTTTTATATTATGTTTCTCTGCTATAATGTCTTTCTCAACATATTCACATCTTTTATGGTGTAGCTTAATACAATTTACTGCCTAATTTATTTAGTCCAATTTACTTTAATAAAGTAATACTGGCATACATTAAATGAGAATCCAATACAAATTTAAATTCAGAAGTGTGTACTGAGCAAATTTATACTAGTAGCACTCACACATTGTTATAAGACATCATTTTAAATATATCAAGTGGATGTCACAACTTTGTGAGTACCGTGGATGCCAAATCCCTATGATTAACCCTTTGAGATATACTTCAAAGTAAACTTTACTAGACAATTGCACTCTAAGATTCTAATAAAATACTAATACTGTAACGTTAGCCCAACTTAAAAACTGTATTCAGCATTTAAACACCAGACTCTTACATCTAGCCATTTGTCCACTGTACAGTTCATATCTGTTTTTACCGCAGTGGAGTCGCAGTTATGCACTCTTTTCAATTCTGCTAACAAATGTTTTCCTTTATTGGTGAAAGTATCCAGGTCTTTTTGTTTATCACTCAGATCGTTCTTGGCAGCTTCATGCTGTGGACATAAATATTTGCTTGTTTAATGAAGCCTTGAAGAAAGAAAGAAAAATCCAGTTCTCCAGGCACCCATCCCTAGCCCTGTGGTATATGTCATGCATTTCATAATTCTCATTCAGCATACCACCTAATATTTAACTATGCCACAAAATACAGAGCAACTGACATGGTTTTCTCATGAGCACAATCAATTAGTATGATTGTTCTTACAAATAAAGCACACAAGTGGGACTAATAAATTCTGAATTTTCCCCACTTGGTAACTAGCTATTTTCGGGACTTAAGGCAAAATTTTTTTTACTCTCCTTTTTATTCTTCAGACTCTACATGTCTAAAATTGAATAATAATAAGAACCCATCATTGACTAACTAGTATCTAAAATCAGTTCTGGAATTACAGCAGGGTAAACAGAGGGTGGTGCAAACAAAATTTAGAATTGTAACACCCATCACTCCTAGATACTCTGGAAAACAAAAGTACAAATGTGTTCAGAAAGGAATTAGACAAAATCTTCAGGGCTGCTAAGTTTGCAGTTCTAGGCTTAGGGAAATCTTTAAAACACTGTCACTGAAGAGGTGACAACATACTGAGAAAGGATCACAGTAAGCATCGCGTACTTTTTTCTTTAAGAAGTATTACAGATCAGCATTAGATTTAAGCTACTAATCTGGATGCAGAATGGCCATGTGGCCATGCCTACTTAATTATGGTAGGAGTTGTGCAAAATACTTATCACGCTCCAACTCCTTCAGGCCTAGATGTGGCCACTGTTGTAGCAGGGAATTCTCCACAGCCCAAGGCTCACATTAAGGAGAGGAATCATATGGAAGATACATGCATTTCTTTGTTAGACTGGTGAGCTCTGTTCTGGCTTTCAGTTCTAATTAAAATGTCTTTTAAAAAGAGGTCATAAATACGAGCAGTTTAGAATGAGGTTTATACAGATCTGACTGAAGAATTTTTAATGAAGAGCTCAATAGGCTTCCAAATGAAATTACCCTCTGAATGAACAGAAAGAATTTAACTCAGTACTGTTTTTCCTGACAGGCTGATGGATAGCGGAATTTAGAATTTTAGAAATATGATCCAGTGAAATGAATGGAATGCAGGCATCAAATTTCCTTATCTCGGCTCAATGGCCAATATCAACATTGTACCCCATGGAATAAGTCGTCTCAGGGAAAGAGGCAGACATAAGAATTGCACACATCAGAAATGTGTGCAATTCATTTTCTTTTGTTGACTTTTATCCATTCAAAAAAATACCCAATATGGAAAATTATTAAAGTACGTTGACTGGAAATATCCTCTCACACTATGATAGGAATATAGTCTCAAGGTATTTTATATAAAAAGCAGATAATGTATGCTTTCCATATAAATTAACATTTTGCATTTCTAGGTGTTAAAATAATAAATAGCAACAATCAAATACACATTAGTGGATCGCACCAAAATGCTGAAAGGACTATATCCTTTCCTCATCAGAATCTACAATTTAAACCCTGAATGTCAGCGTGACAAGATTTGACAGTAAAGTCAAGGAACTTTAAACACAGCTCAAGGGCACCTTTCAAACAGAAAAATCCATCTAAATCAAAGATCATTTAAATCCCGCAAATGAAAATATATGTAATTACCTTTGATAAAGTTCGCCTGACATCTTCATGGTCCTTCCAAATGGATTTGATCACAGAAGCGCTGTCAGCACTGTCTATGACTTTCATTACTGTTGACTTCAAGCTCTGATATTCCTTCATCAGATCGATAAGAATGCAGGACTGCTCTTTTCTGTAATGTGAAAAGGCTGTGTTAGCTCCATTTGCTGTCATGTTTCTGAAGGAAAGAGAATGTGACGTAGTGATTTACCATGGGAAAATCAGGATGCAGTGCTAAACATGTTTTAGGCAGCCAAGGAAATATTAATATTTAGGTTTTACAAATCACTGTGGTCCATATATCACAAAACATCTCACTGAGGAGTATATGAATCGCCATCTCATATATATCAGATATCGAAGCAACTGACTTGAGCAAAAGAAAGACTGAAACCGGAATTCAAGCTTCTCACTTCCTAAGTTTAGCACCTTACTGACTGGAAACCACACTATAATGATGCTGGCACTCGCAGCTCATTTTTTTTAACTTGTTTCTTTAACATGGAGTATTTTGGAGGGTAAAAAGAAGCAAAGACTAAAGCAATGCAAGATAAGTCTGACTATTTTGTCCTCCAGTTGTCAGATGCATGCTTTTGGGTCTAAAACATTACATTCAACTTACCTGTCATTCTACTGAGAACAGAATAACCTGCTGCTAAGAACAGGCCTAATGGGTTTTTTCCACCCCCTCTCCAGAAAAGCCTATTTCTGCTCAGGTAACGGACAGAAAAAAAAACCCCTATTCAATCCATTCCTGGTGTTTACACTGAAGAGAGAGAAGGAAGACGAATACTTTGGATATGTTTAGGGTAGAACAGTGTTTGCAGTGAAAGGAATTTGGGAAACATGACATCGCCAAGAAAGAGAGGTAATTGCTTTAGGAGCTGGCTCTTCTCTGAATGCTCCGAAGAGCTCTCCAAAAGAATCAGGTTCAAGAGGGTCTAAAATTGTGTCTATATGGGAGAGAAAACAGTTCAAAATAATTAAAATTAAATTAATAATTTAAACAAAAATTAACATTATTTTCATGTTAGAAAGGAATGACGAGGTACCTGAATATCTTTCAGTTTTAGGTATAAAGATGGCAACAACCACCCCAGTATGGGAAAACTGGACAACTCATTTGCCCTCAATAATGTATCTATAAGGCAGGGATAGCTATTTTACGTTTTCTTCACTACCGCACTGGTATTGTCTAGCTTCTGGCACATGTATGCAGAAATTACTTGGTTTATTATTATTAAGGACTTCTAAAGGTAAGAAAAATGGGTTGCAGCAACATGCAACATGAAATACAAATTAGCAGCAGTGCTGAAGAAAAAGGAGCGATGGACATTTTTAAATAAAGCTATCCTTTTCTTCCACTTAGTTCAGATTTATACATCTCTTAAAAACGCACTAGAAAACCAGACTGAATTCAGCTGGAGAAAACCACCAGAAATGAAATTCATGTAGCTGTGCATATTTTCAAGAGGGAAATAATACACAGATCTGGTTAAGGGGCAGCATACTTACGAATATCTGTATGGTGTCAATCAAGAAAATAGAATAACAGTACAGTATAGAAACCAAAGGGAAAAAAAAAACATTTTACAGCACAAATGAAATTTTTTCTGAATCGTCATTCCAGTACACCAACCCAGCAGTTACATGGGGATCACCAAATTGCATATGCCCATTGAAGTATTAGCCAGGCTTAGAACTGTTTTGCTTCTGCACTTAGACAAACTGTCTGTACATTGAGGATGATGTGATACTGAATGAATCTAGCACTTAATTTTACCATGCAAATTTAAAAAAAGAACATTTGAAGAAGTTTTCTTTAAAGATGACGAAGAGGCAGCTAAGACAAAGAAAAGGGTAAGATTAAACTTTCTTTAGTTTCTTTAGTTCCTTTCTTTATCAACTTTCATTGATATACAAAACTGTCTTACATCTCTGATTATACACTAATGATTGTTATGAGCCTGGTCCCTTGGGCAGACAGAAAGACTTAAATCTAAGAATGATTTAGGACCACTGAATATAGGGTTGTCAGAAATACATATCCAATATAGAAGGAAAATACATGTTAGAAGGAGAGTATGTGCTACTTGGAGTGATAGTGAAATCTCAATGGAGATATCTTATCTTTCAGGAGAGTAAACAATAACATGAAACTAAAAGCCCAGTATATCTATAAGTACTGTCCCGAGGACCTATCTGTGGCTTTATTAATAGTATAATTACAACTGGTACAAATATCCTGGTTTATACTGTGTTTTATCTTCTACTCAGTATTTAACATACAAGCCCTGTTTTCTATTGGGATTAATATGGCAAGAAGATATTAAATATAAATAATTGGGTCTCTTTCCCTGACTAAAAGAACCCTCTCCTTTCTCACCTTAAGTCTAAGAACTACTTACTTTTCATGTATAACTTTCTTGGTATCCTCCCACAGAGATTCTAAGCGATTTATCTCTTTGTCGATCTCAGGAGCAAGGGTAATATCTTTTTGGGCTATTTGTTTTGCTTTGTCCATGAGCCACTGGAGTTCATGCTGGTGAGAATTCAATTCTTCATCTAACTGGTTAAAGATCCTCAATCTGCAAGTTAAAAGGCAGGTTTCAAATTTACTTATCTTCACTTTTTTGCAAGAGAAAAGAGGAGAAAGGAAGAATGAAACGGTTGCTGCTAGAGTTACTGTGCATAAAGTTCCCTTTTCTAACATTTCCTACAATATCTTCAGAAAACAAAGTGTTGTCTGGATTTTTTTCTGCTACAATTGGGCTCAGAATGTGATTTTTCTGGTACATATACAGCTATACAATTATACAGATACACATGTACTTCACCTGACACAGTGACTTGGAAATACACTCAAATATTTAGATTAATACTTGATTATAGTAAGTGTTTTCAATTCCTTCAGCACATGTACAGTCTTCAATTCTGTAAGAGTAGAGATAGTTATGTTATATGGGAATTCTAATAGCTGTTTGGAGCTTGGATTCATTCAGACAAAATAAATTTCTGAGACAAAGATTTTCTTGACTGTTCGTTCAATATAAAAGATTAGCGGGACTTGCTAAGTGTTCTGCTCACGTTCTCTCTCCATCCAAACAACTCGCTCACTGACAAAATTTTATTAAGTAGATATATGGACTAATATACGCCTGGCAAGGAATAAGGTACCCAGGCAGAAAACTCACACATGCCTCCAATGCATCATAAAAAGTCTAGAGACTGCAAGCAAATGAAGAAGTGCCAATCTCAAGCACCAATACTGTTTTTACCTTTGCTGGAGGGCTTGTAGTGTCGCCTCCTTCAGACCCTCCTTGTCAGCCTTTTCCTCAGTATCTTCAATACTCTTCAGTAGCTGTTCTTTACGTTCCATGAAAGATCTTCGCAAGGCTTCAAGAGCTTCTGCCTCACTCTGTTTGGTTCCCAGCAGGTTTTGAACCGCCTCCAGTTCCAAGCACAAATTATCCACCACAGCCCTACAGGAGGTCCTCTGCTCAGAAATGCTGTGTTTTAGATGATACTGGGCCTTAGTAAGGGAACCATCCAAACTGATGGCGACAGATTCCAGCTTGTTAAGATCTTGAATAACATCATTGAGTTCCTTCTCCAGTAATTCAGATTTAGCTTTATCCATATTTCCTGTTTTCTCCACTGTCTGCCTCAGCTGGTGGAGCACTCCTGATGCAGCACTTTGAAGCTCCAGGAATACCTGCAGCTGATCCAGAGCCTCTTGTCTTTGGCAAGTTATTTGACTTGCCTCCTGGAAGATCTGAAAGCAATCTTCAGTCTTTCCCCGCAATGTCTGCTGGTCCTCTGGGCAGCTGACAGAACACAATTTATCTACATGTTCCTTCAGACTTTGTAACTGCTGTTTCTTACTTTCGACTTCCATTGCGTGGTTCTAGGGGAAAGAAAGAAAATAAGGCTGGGTTTCTTCTTCCAGTCAAAAGCTCAGAAAACATTTTAATAGTAAACTTATGAGCAAAAAAAGTACTGCTGAGGGGTTTCCAGTAAGAACAGTTCAGTGTTACAGTTTTGCATTAAACTGGCCAAATAACAGAAATCTGTATGTGACTACAACCGTGTATCAGTTTTCAAACAAATAAATGACTTCATGCTAGTTTTCGATGAATATTTAGCTGAATGCACTGTACAATTTCCCTGTCTTTAATATTTACATCCAAAAGTTTACCTTATTGTGAGATGCAGCCAGTTGTTGATCAGCTGTGTTTATCTCTGAAGTGGCTTGTAGTTCAGCAAGAAACTGCTTAATCCAGTCTGAAAACCTGAGCAGGAGCTCATCAAACTGCCCACGCTCAGCAACAAGAGATTGAAGGAAGTTGATCCTATAGGATGTCAGATGTAAATATGAAAGCACTTGATGTAAATTAATCACTTCCCATAATGAAAACCACAGCTGACTGGACAGCATTAAAATCAATGCCAGGTGGAAGGAAAGAAGGAAACGTTAATTTATGTTACAAATGTGATGACTGCCGTGTTGATTTCTTAACTGGGAAATAACATAACACTTGAAAGCACCAGTTTGGCTCTTTCCCGTTTCCACTGTTTTATTCATATCAACCGTTAAAAGTGCCCCAAACAATCAAGGTATGTTCTTCAACTTTCTTCATGGGGGTAGTCCCAGCAAAGAGAACGATACTGATGGAAGTTAAACTTCAATTTTCAGACATAGCAATTCTGTTTGCCCTATCATCTGCAGCACTGCACGTAAGGTGAGAGTCTAATGAATTTAGGCAGCGGGTGAGTAGCTGCATGCTCAACTTCCACTGAAGTAAGTGAGGGTCAAGTCTGCTCAGAGAAACACAATTCAAAGGAGGAATGTGTCCAGAGGAGTACTTGGCACCTAGCAGAACTAAGCTTCTAAATCTTGACCTTAAAAAGGGCCTTGCCATTTACCTTCCCATTTCCCTTAGAAATTTCTCTATATAATTTTCAACATGAAATGCTATGTAGAAGATCGCTATATTGTAAAACAATCATATTGATGAAGCACCTAGAAGATGATGTCATTGACCAGGGTCTATTATTTAAGCTCTTTTACAAATAATAAAATATGTATGTTCATCACCAAAACAATTTAAATCTAAATATACGATACCATAGAGTTTCAAAAAAGGAGGCAGTGTTCCTGAGCCTAACATGAGCCAGCAGCCTAACAATTGAGCATTTATAGTATTTATGGCAAATGAAAACTTCAAAGTGGGTTTAAAAAGATAATAGTGTGGCTTTGCACAAGATAAAGCATGTAACTGCAAAAATGGTAAGCAGATATTACAGATTTTGGAAGTAACTTAGGCAGTTACTTGGGAAATTGTAACTGAGGAAATGCAACATGACCTTCATTTCCTGCCCCACATTCCTTCAAACAGAACTCTTCCATCAAAAAAATAAGGAGAGATTACACCAAAAAGACAGCATGATAAATCTGTGGGATTCCCCACACCCCATTCCTGGGCGCTCAGGTTTCAGTATGAATCTTAAACCTGCATTTTCCTAATGGTAATATTGTAAAAACCTACGTTTCAGGATTGGGATTCCTCATCTAGATATGGGTTACTCTCATTTAACATGTGAAAAACATTCTGAAGCACAAACCTTTTATCAACAGTTTGTGGTAAAGCTTTCCACCTCTCATCCAGCTCTTCAAATTTTTCTTTTATTGTTTTCACACACTGTTTGGAAGCTGTTGGGAATAGTGACTCATTTAACTGTAACAGGCTCGCATAGACTGAAGCACGGGACTCAATATCTGCTCGCAAATCCTGGGAAAACAATGGAATGTACAGCCTTTAGATTAAATATGTCATCATATTATGCAAAATAACAAAACTAATAAAAAATCAGCTAGGGATTTCCAGCACACCACTTTGAGACAAGTGAATGAGCACAGTCAAATCCTTGGAGGAGTTGAGGTCTATTAGGACGAGCAGGTACTCAACACCTCTCAGACAGCTAAATCTGCAACTGTAATTCAGTAAGGATTCATTGATTTTTTTTTTTTCCTGCTTTAGGACAAAGTGTGACCTTTCTGCACAGCTCTACTGTACGGTGAAAGTGGCTAAAATCAAGATTTTGCAACTTATTTTGTGTGCAGCAATAGAATTGTGAGGAAATGTCACAAATTGGCCCAAACAAAAAACCAAAACCCAAAATAATTTTCCTTATCTTCAGTAATATTTAAAAGTGAAATTATGGACTCATTGGCTTCATGGAGGGTGTGAAAGATGCTACCTTTGGCCAACTGCTTCATATTAATGTAAAAACAAATGGCAAAAATTCCAAGGGAAGGCATACTTCAGAGTAGGATGAAAGTCTTGTGTTTAAAAAAAAATAATCAGAAATGAGACTTTCATTGTGAATTCAAAATCTTTGAGCATGTTGTCATCTGAGCAACTTTCCTCACGTGCAAAAAAAGGAAAGTAGCATTGTCTAACAAAGGAATTTCTCTAGAGAAAGGATCCTCTGGCAAGGAGATCAATGTCCTTCCTTGACAGATAATAGGATATACCAGGACATTATTTTTCTTGAGCCGGCATATTATATTTGCAAATAACATTCTTCCTGTCATTTTCTTGTCTTTGATAAATAACAACAGCGATAATGTAATACTTCCCTAGGACATTTCCAAAGCCCAGAATCAAGTGACTTGTCAGACTACAATTGAGCAAGTCCATCCTTTAAAAGACACAGCAATAAACCAGGAAATGTAGGGGGACAATCTTTCAGTTGAAACGTACCTGCACCGACTGCAGTTCACCTTCCAGTTTAACTCTGTCAGCAGAAACATACTGCTCTGAAGGCCTGACTGTAGCTTCACACCCCTCCAACCAGGTCAGGAAGGCAGACAGCTCTTTCTCCTGCCTAGCAAAATCACAGCGTAGAGTTACCAACTCAAGTCATCCCCTCGGTCTCACACACTGACTGCAGGAACGTCTCTGTGACCATCATAACAGACGTGAGAGTCTACTCACTTCTGCCACTGAGCCAGAAGAGTCTCTAATAAGGTCTGTTTCTCTTTAGCATTTTCTAGCACCTTTTCATGTTCCTGCTGTAATGCTGTAACCTCCTGAGCAGCTTTTTCTTTGTTGGCCACCTTTCGGGCACAGGCTGAGAGAGAGGCCAGAGTGTTGCTCAGTTTTTCCACAGTATGACAAAGGTCCTGATGAACATGTAGAAGAAACAGAAGTCACATACATAAACAACAGAGCTATGGTAACAATGGTGAGAAAAATTCTGTACTTCTACTCGAAGTTTGAAGCAATGCTACATCCACCAGATCATGAAGTCACTGCATAGCTTATATTTCACTCAAATCTGTCCTAGATACACGTTTCCCAAGCATATCAATCAACTAGCTTGTAGTGAGGAAAGAGTTTCCTAACAACAGTGTTGAAGAAAAAACAGTCAGCAACAAAGGGGTCAGATGTTCTGAATGGGCACGCGACACAGCATGATCATGTAGGACAAAGCTCCAAATTCCCTAACATCTGTCTAAGAGTTACTCTAATTTACACATATACAGTAAATACAAAAGCTCACTCCAACATGTGAGGACTGCCAGAGTTGCAGCCCATGTCATGACATGGGAGAGGTAGGGAACAGTTACTGTGAACTTCTGTGAGCGTTAGCTAAAGGTCTTTTTCATAGAAATGGCATGTGATGTTGACTAGACTTTCCAGTGTTGCCATTTCTAGAGAGCTGGGAAACTTGTTCACATGAAAACGGTTGAAATGTAGTACAATGAGTTAGGAAAGCACAAAATGAAATAGATTTAAGACCACTAAAGTTCCAACTCACAGGTGTGCAGTAATAACAACAGTAGTAATGGTTATAATTAGAGTCATGAAAGAAATCATATATAGGAGGAAATGTGAATTACACCGCAACAAGCTGCTGATGTTTAAGCTAAATAATAAAAAATGATTTCACATTAAAGCATTGAATCATCATGATCCTGTAGGCAGGACAAGAGTTTACAATAGCATACTCAGCATATTCATAATGTTTAAAAGCCAATAACAATAATGATTACATGTGCTGTCTGAATAAATTCTCCACATGCAAAATATTTTTCCTCAACAAGTATCAAGCTTTTTTGAAGCAGACAGGCCAGGTCTTCCTTGCATACAGCCTTTGCAAGTAGTTACCACACAGTTCAGAAGAAATTATGTATGTTTTACTGCAAGAACAATATGACTAAAAGTTTTTACAATATTTTCTTAGAAAGGAAAATAATTATTATTGTGGGAAGAACACATCACAAACTTACAGACACAGACAAAAATGTTACACCAAATTCCATGAGATTTGGGATTTTTTGTAGTTTGAATACCAATCCAATGTTTGTTTTCCTTTTGCAATGGACTGAACCAAACGTCCAAACACCCATGGTTTTCTGGCATCACAGATAAAAGTTTGTCAGTTGAAACTCTGTCCAGTCTCTGCATTGCCCAAGAAAAACTATTTCCAAGGAGATTTTTTTTTTTTTTTAAATCAGAGTTCTCTATACCAAGACTCAAGCTGCATGAAAATCTTTGAGGAAAAATGTCTAACAGACATGCTTCTTATTTTCTACTTTTCATAATGTTTCAGATGCATAAAATTAAAAACAACAACCTGAAGGATTAATTCATACTTTTAGGCTTTCCTTTCTCTAGAGCGGGGAAAAAACTCTCCAAGCCTGTCTGAAATAGTGAGAAGAAATAGCTGAGGAAGCCTGCTCGAGCCTTCCCTGGGGTTGCCCACCCCGACAGGCAGCCCTTGCCTCCTCCTGCCTCCACCCTGGGCTGCGTGGCATCAGGCAGCCCCTGGTCTGGAGGTTATTAGCATTCCTGTGAGGAGGTCAGTGTGGCACCGTTTCCCTGGACTCGGTAGCAGGAATCACTGGCCACAGGCTCACCGTGCAATCCTGAAGGGCTGCGTATGTTGCTGCTGCTGAAGAGCATGATGTGAGAGGCTCAGCTAGTTTAGCTTCAAATTCAGACACTGCCCGCTGCACCTGTGAAGAAAAGGCAAACCAGAGAGACTAAAACCAACAGGAAATACATAAACGATGCTTTAAATAACGTTTTTTAAATACCTAGTGCTAAGAGAATATTATATCCTAAGCTTTTGTAGGGCTGACTGCCTTTTGAAGTTACAAGATGCTAACTGTGCTCAGGTCCTTGTGACCGGGGCAATAATAATATTTAAATTATTTTCCTTATGACCTACTAACAACGCAAGATTGAAGTTAAAGTGTTTATAAGAAGTATGGATGTGGTTTATTAGTGCAATATCCAGGAGAATCACAGGTTTTCTAAAAGACAGCATAATCTTTTGAGTGTGTATATTTTAGTGTCTTCCTGAACCTGCCTTTTAAGTCATTCAAAGCACAAATTTACGTATAGACGTCTTGCAATTACCTTACAAATCTACTCATATATTCTAGTCCATCCTAATATGCATCTTATATGCAACTTTAGAAAAATAAAGAGTAATTCTATAAACTGCTGCAAACAATCCATTAGATTTTGCATTGTCTACCTGTTTAAGACTTTCTTCATATTTCTGCTGTGCTGATGCATTCCCTGTGATTGTTCCTTCCAGTGTCTGTGCATGATCTCTTAGCTCTTCCCAATACCTTTTGACCTGAGACAGTTTGGCTTTAATATGTGCACATTCTCCAGAGGTAACAAACTGGGAAAAAGACTCGGCTTCCTCTTCTAGTTTTGAGATTCCAGTTATTTTACCATCTATTTCTTTATTAATAACCTAAAATGTAAAGTAATAGTAAATAAAGAAGCACAATAGGTTTTTAATTATCAGAATAATATTTTCTACTTCATTCTTTTACCTGAGCTATTAATATTCTTCATTAAAAAAGTAAATAAAAGGAGAGTTAATTGACCACTTGATATAACTATGACCACTTGACTAGTTATAAAAGTCTTTAATATGCCCTGTAAATTCCCTCTTTCTTCTTGAAATTAGCACTGGAAAAGGTTTAAAAACCAGCCTGCCCTAAAAACAGCATCTATGAAGAGGAATTAGAATTGCCTGAGGTGCGTATTTTCATAAGCAGACAAGATGGTTCATATTTTAGCATCTCTTACTTCACAGCAAATTAATACACAATTGTCTTAAAGATTCAAAGTAAATAGACGATGAAGATTGTAGGTGTATAACTGAAAACAATATTGTTAAGGAGCTGAACCCTAACAGTTGATTACTTGTGTTTAATAAGTTTTCAAGCACTTACAAAATAAAACATGCTATGATTTGAAAACCAATAGAGATTGTTTTCATTTTCTAATTTAAAATCCTATGGTATAATAAAGAATAAATTAAATTAGCTGATGAGGTAGGGTGAGTGTGCCCTCAGGCAGAGGATTAAATAAAGAACCACATTACAGTGTAAATAGGAAACCATGAAACAAGAATGATAATGGCCTTTGGTACTTTTCAGCTGTCTTCTACGTCAATTAGTAAATGCATAAAGACAAACTAGCACTGGCTTTACATTTCAGCAGCTGCATGACAGCAACTGTCTCCTATTTTTTTCCACTTGTTCTTATTGCAAATTAGAGGCAAACCTGAAAGCTACAACCTCCAAGACACAAACTTACGGTGTTTCACATTCAGTGGCTATTTATTCAGTAAGCATCGGTGAACCTGGAAATAAGATTTTTTTCACAACAGAATTCTTTTAATTTCTGCTGATGTAGCATGTCCACGGAGCTCTTCTCAAAAGCAGTGAAAAATACTCGTTGGAAGGGAATTGAAAGAGCCAAGAGCGCTCTTTGAAATTGAAATAGGCAATAGCGTTCTCAGATATAAAAATGTTAAGGTATGTACATATGTGAGATCAACCAAAAACTTTCCTGAAAATGCACTCTCAAAAGCACAGAAAGTGCCCACCTTCTGCTATAATTGTGATAAAAATATGGTATCTTGCTTGCCATTAGAAAGCTCAGGAGTGGCTTACTGCAACATTCAGAGTCTAGAATTAGCAGGGTGAGGTACAGAAAAAAATGTGGTGCTGTAAGCATTTATAGTGTCTCTTTATGCAATATATTCTGAATTAATTCAGATTATAAAATATCTTTTTTGCATGAGAATACAGCGCTGAGGAAGAATACTGGATTTGCAGCCCTGAAGCTGAAATTATCTAACAATGCAGCAGATACAAATGAGGCAGCGTTTTTTTACTCCCACGCTATTCTGTTAAATTCACTCAGTTACATAAAAGAAGGTGGATAATTGAGGCCTTCAAACTCTCACTGAGTCTGCCACCGATGGTAACTACTTGTGATAACTGTCATTTTGTCTACCAGGAATTTTGGAGAAATGCGTAGGTGAAAATCTGGCTCTGCTGAAGTCATTGGGGTTTTGCAATCAGTGTATGATAATTACACTATGTATGATAATTACATTCAGCTGACCCCAGGTTTTTTATCTGGTCAGCCAAGATATCAGGGAACACCACCTTTTTTTTTTTTTTTTTTTGTGTATTTGCCTCATATTGCAATATTCCTTACTAATATATTGTACTAGAAATTATGAACTACGTATGCTGATTAGCATTGTGACACAGACTAACTCATCAGGAAACTCCCAACAAAACATAACAAATCCTTCAAAATCAGGCACAAAGCAATGCTGCTGAAGAAGACCTCCAGCTGTGTCCACGTATCGGAGGTTAGATGACTCGCTTCACATATCACAGTTCATAAAGCTGGTTTGCTCATCTGAGCTACAATGATGTACCCTAGGCTTTATCTGGAGGATTTTCTCTGCTTTGTGTCTGTTCACTCAGACAACTATAAAAATTACCTGCTGACCATTTTCTTTCTGTCATGACGTTTAAATGAAGAGGGCTTATGTTGGCATTTTCAAAAACTTGCAATGCAGTGTGAAAGTGACCGTTTAGCTGCATATTTAGCAAGGAACAGCCTTTCCGGGAAATTGGCTTGAATGGACTAGTAGGGCTTAACTAGGCTCCATTTGGACAGACAAAAGCTGTTGTCACACTGTAATGCAATATTCATATCATTTGATGCACTTGCTTTCTGTCTTAAACATTTGAATCGTACTTAGTAACTACTGGAAAATACAGCTACCTGACAGTGTGTGCCAGTGGAATAAATGCATATATATAATTTCACAAGGAAACTTTCTGAATTGCTGTGGCGATGAAGCAAGAATTCAAGCATTGTTTTATTCTTCAGTGATGAAATCAAGAGATTTTATTTATTTGGTGTATGTAAAGTTGTGATCAAATTAAGAACAGGAAAATCTGTTGATAAACTGTTTCTGTCACATGAAGCACACGCCTTACGGGATCCTTTGGAAATACTTAGTGTCAATCTGGTCCGTGACTGCAAGCAGCTGCACACCTGCGCACTTTCTGAAGAGCAAGGAGGTCACAGAACAAAGAAAATGGCAGCGTGCACTGTGTATTGAAAAACTCTGTCCCCTTAGAAACATGCAGAAGGTATGTTTTCATTTGTGGGAGGATATGAAGTCAGCCCTTGAAATGCAATGCTTGGAGACAATATGCACCTCGGTTAGCAATAAGAAACTAAACCACTATGTATCTACAGGAATGTACACAGAATTTAAGACTGTAAATATAATAGCAATAAATAGTATGTAGGTTTGCAAGCTACCAAGAGCAATAGTTTCTTTATTATTTCAGCATAAAAGATACATAAATCAAGTTATAACTTTATCTTGCAAGATTAAAATCAAGTTCTATATCCACTAGCTGATGTCTGTTTTAAAATAAAAAGGCTTGTATTTATGTAGCTATTTTGTACACCAGTTGAGATTACTCAAAAAATAAGAAGAGTATAAATTAAAAAATATTTTTAACCATACACACAAAGGCTCCATATATGTAAACTAAACACTAACAGAGAAGGCAGCCTGTAAGAATTTTCTTTTACTTTAGGTAAAACCTTACTGCTTGGTATATTCGTGTACAAAGCGTGCCATCATTACATCGTGGTAGTTCGGAAACGTGTAAAATGTCCGTTCTCCCATTTGGCCTCTAGCAAAACGACAGATAAATGGACTTTTAACGCTAAACATAACAAGAACTAATCACCTTGATTTGGCTGATCTGTATGTCCAAAGGAGATGATGATGTTTCCAAAGTTTCCAGTTCTTTCTCTTGTTCAGCTATCCAGATGGACAAAGCTTCAAAATTATTGCCAAAATGATCCCACTTGTTTTTCACCATTTCCATGCTTTTAATACTAAAATTAACCAAATTAATTAGAGAGAATAAACAGTTTAATATAATGAAGCTGCCTGTATTCTTGCTAGAATAAAAATGTAACTTATTCAATCTACAGGAGGGTCATTTTAAAAACTCCTGGTTTTAGAGGACCAAGTTGTGTGCCTAAATTCAAACTTGGTTCTCTCCTAGACTGCACCCAAAGTCAAACAATTATATTAGCCATAGTGGGGACACTGAGAGGTGAAACAGAGTACAGCTTCATTCATCAGCTGTACATCACGAATCTCATCATAGCAGGAAGAGAAACGAAAAGTAACATAAATACGATTTCTATGAATTAATATGGAATTAAGATTACATCAGATATAAAAATCATATATATCAGATATAAAATTGAGATAACTGAGTGCACAGATGTTAGTCATTTAGTTGCTAGAAAAGAATGATTAAAACCACGTGTATTCTGGAGGTACATATATTCACCAATGCTTGACCACTTTATTAAACTTGGGTTTTTTATAGCAGCAATCTGCCCATCTTATGGGAATTTTGTGTTTTCTGAGGCAATGATTTCATATCAAGCCAAAGTCAACAACGGATATGACTCAACTACCTCAGAGTTAATAGATTTATATTCTTTGAAACATACATTATAGGTATGTTAAACAGAGAAAGATTACGACTGATTCTTGTATATATTGGATAGCAAACAAAGCACCCTTTTTTTTGTCACAGGTAAGAAGTCTAAGGCCCTTATAAGGTCTAACAGCATTAACATCCAGTATAAAAGTTTCTGCTCCTTTCAAGTCATTGTAAAGAAACCACTGCTAATGTAGGCCCTACACACAGCTTGCAAAACATGCATTTTCTATTTCACTGAAAATATTAAAATCTCATCAGAAAAGTTTGAATATTACAAAATTCCAAAATACATTTTCCTTTTAAATATAGCCTTAAAAACCATTCCATGTTAAAAAGATTTTGTTTCTTTTCTTCCCCCCCCCTCCTTAAAGCCAGAGGAAGCTTTAAGAAAAGATGTAGTCTAAAATGTAAAAATTGACCTTTTTATTTTTTCTTATTTTCAAAATGAAAAAAAAATTAGCAATGTCAACAGCCATTTACTGATAAGAATGTATTCAAATTCAAGTTACTTGCAGTAAAATGAAGTGCAAAAATATTTCACTCAAGTCCAGCCCAAGAAAATACAGCCGGAAATCAGAATCAAGGGACCAAATCAGTGGCACAGCAGCTGAAAATCCTTCACCTTTGTATCTGCCTTCCTTATAGTTTTAAGAAAGCCTCAGACTGTAAAGACTATAGTCCCAAACACACTGCACAGCTACGCATGATCTCCTTGGAAAACAGGTGTGCTAAGTATGCCTTGTAGCTGACTATGGAGAGCTGCTCAACCCTTCCTTTCCCTTTCCTGTTCATCGGCATAGTATGTACCGTATGTATTTGGAACACCTTCACTTTAAATTACTCGGCCAAGATTTTTATTGATGATGCGAGTTACAACATAACTCTTACACACTGATTATATGTTCTGTAGAGTCACTATAAAGAGTTGTATATATTTGCATGTTTTGCAGAAGGGATTTATTTTTTTATTATCTGTCACAGTACCACAGACATTCTGTACAATCCATACGTTCAACTAAAACCTATTTCATATCTACATTGAAAGGGGATATCAATGATGGCTTTCATTTGAAAATAGATGACTCTTAAAAAGGTGAATATTCATTGTTGGAAGGGTGAATTTCTTGAATTGAAAAATCACACTAGTTTTCTCTCTAATATTGGAGAAAAAGATGTATAAACTGAAGTATTCAGTAAGATATGGTAGAATTTGACTGCATATCACTGTAATACTTCATATTGGAGAAAGTGTTATGTAAAAAAATTAGACCATCAACAATCAGAAAGTTACATCTGCTGCAGAGGCTAGTTATTCTGTTTTACAACTGTTCTTTTACATTGGGAAGAAAATGGCACCAAATTAAAGTCAGATTAGCGTGACAATGGTCAATAGGGGAAAAAACCCGATATTGTGAGCATTGCCCTTTGCTCATATTCAGATGGAGGTGGTGGTACCTGCTTAAACTTATACAGCAAGTTATTCTACATAGTAATTCCAGTAAGACAACATAGAATTGGCACATATATCCATGACTTGTGTATCAGATCTAATATATGCAAAAATACTAATTTCATACACACATATAAATGTATGTGTTTATAGATAAAATGAGAATAGCAACAGTTGAAGTTAGTAACTCAGTTATTGAACTCAAGTTACTCCACTTGAGAAAAGGGATGAAATTTTTACAAATACAAAAAGCTACAAATATTTACAGGATTTAACAACATTTTCTTGGAGTTTGAACTTTCAATTTTTAAAGAAAATTTGGCAAATGATGCCTTTGTTATTTGCAGCAGCAGAAGCAGCTTTTGATATTGCCCATGAAATAAAATCTGGATATTCAGCTAAAATGAAGGCACTTCTTGACATTCCTATGGAGAAAGTGGAATACTGAAAACCGAGGCAAATATGGCAAATGTGCTGTTCTCATACTTGCACTGAGATTTTTCTTTCTAAAAAAGTCTAGTACCTCAAGAATGAGTTTAATTGTTCCTTCTTCACGAGACTGGGGATTAAAGATAAGTGACAGGTTAAACGTAACTAACAGTGGTTTTATAAACTATGTATTGTTAAACAAAGATTTTGTTTATTTGTACACACTCTTTTGACATATTTGGTACTATAACCTGGTTACTATGCCACGGCAAGCTGTAAGTGACAGAACTGATGAGACAACACAAAATGCTGACAAGGTATTCTAGAAATCTGATACAATCTTATAGTGGAGAATAAATATTAGGACTTGTTAAGAACATACTCTTCTTCAAGAGTAACTTCCACTTTTTTCACTTGTTCTTGGATTGATTTTGCCTGCTGTTGAAGGGACTGCTTGTTCTTTGAACCAAGCTGTATCTCAGAAGAATTCTTCACCAAATTCTCAGCCTGCACTGCCATTGCTTCAGTCTGTTTAGAAAGTTCCTGTAAGGATGCAAGACACATTAATACAACTATAAACAGTTCAATATGTTTACACAAAAAGTATTTTTCCTCAGTGTTTGTGGTTAGAAAAAGTATCTGTGTCTTATATGTATATTTTGAATGCGTAAATAAATAAAAACAACCTCTGAAGAAAGTGATTTTCATGTTGCATTTAAGAAATGTTCATTTGAGCAAACTAGCTTGAGTAAAATTTAGCAAGGGAGACTACGTGTCCAAAAGTTTTTAACTCAACCAATCAAAATTTATTCTATAGCTCTTCAATAAATTTATTTGTGAATTGTCAAAGGATTAGGTGACCTTTAAAGGTCCCTTCCAACCCAAACTATTCGATGTTTCTATGATTCTATTATGATTACATGCACCTTTATTTAATCTTTAGATCCTACCCTTTACAGAGAGGATTTTGCAGTATCCTGTAGCTTGTAATCTCACTTTGTTTAACATCTGTTTTCTGTCACAAATGGTAAACCCATACACCAGAACAATGGATGCTGAGCATAACCAAGATATGCATAATTTAGTACCAGATTCATCAAAGGGTAAAAACAGCATGAAAAGCATGGCACTCAGGAAAGCCAATCACTACTATTACTTCTGTATCAGTAAATAAAATGGGCTGGGGTAATTCTGTGTTACTAAGGGCAAGTGGCATGTTATGGCTTATGTCCCTATTGTAGAAGTCTCTCCTTTTTCACCTCGGGGCTAAAAGAGTGCTAGTTGGCACAGTCCACATAACCGTGCCAAAAAGCACACTATCGATGTTGATAGGCCAGTGCTTGACACTGTTTAGCTTACTAGTACAGATGATTACTGAGCATAAAATGGGAAGTCCTCAAAATCATTTTACCTTCCATACGTGTGCTTCAGATGCAGATTTTGAGTAATTCTTCATGATCTTTTCATAAAATAACTTTTTACCTCTAAACAGTTTATGCAGTCTCTAATCCGTATACGCAATTTGCACCAGCATTAACATGCAAAGATTGAAGGCAATATGCTCGCTACATGTTAACATGCAAGGCGGAAAGATATCTCAGTTCCTGTATTTTACACAGTGAATACCTTTGTCTGATCCAGTTCTGAGGAGAGGCTCTCTAAACTGCTAAAGTTTAAGATACGTTCAAGTGCAGAGCTTGCTTGATTGAGATATTTTACTACTGTTTCTTTGTCCCTTTCAAACTGCTCCCATTTATTTATTGTGACCTACAAAAACAAACAAACAAACAAACAAACAAACCCAAAACAGGAACACAAACACAAAAAGATCAAAGGGGAGAAAAAAGAATTTCATTGTAAGTTACTGAAGAAGGAAAAAAGAAAAAGACCTGAGATAAAATAAAACAGTTTTTCCTGAAATGCCATCCACTCTACAGATGAAACTGTTCTGAACCCAATAAAAGAAAAGTTTTCCCTTGAATTTTCACTGATTCATACTGTGCTGTGCACCTTCTCTAAGGTGCCAGCAATATTTAAATCTTATATTTGAATGTCCTACAAGAAGTCTGAAGTAATAGATACAGATGCTTATGCTTATGGTGGCAGGTAGTCAACAATACCTAAAGGATTTTCAAGTTCTCTAATGAAATAAATTATAGAAAATGGTAGAAGAAAATCCCTACTTACAGGAAACTCACACATAGGAATCTATTTGTTCTTTACTGATCGTGTAAAATTTTGATTAGCGTACAGCATTTAATTACCAGTCACAAGAATTATGACAGTATAAACAAATATTTTCTTGGTTCCAAAGTAAAGCAAGGCCCTAGTTTGGACTTTATATATGAGAGTCCTTAGAAAAAAATTGGTTTCAATAGTAAATTCTTACATTAAGAAGTTATTTGAGCTCTATCGACCATGTTTTTCATCTTGTGTTTTATCATGGAAATAGTTTTGATGACTTTAAACATTTGTGTGAAATAGTGGACAGCTGGATTACCATTCTGTCTAGAGAAATGCGAAGGACAACTCAGATGTGGGTGCAAAAAGCTGTAAATTTTTATCTGAGTTCAGTCAGTGATTAGTTATACAACCTGGAGCAATTCATTTGATTTCTCTGTGACTTTTTTCTTCCTTCTTTAAATTTAGGATGACAGCATGTATTTCACACAGTAGTTGTGAGGATTATATTTGCACAACATCAGGTGTTATTAATCTAATATCCAACCTAAAGACTCTCAATTAAAGGGCAATGCCATCTTTAGTAACCAGGGGAGACAGCCCATCTGAAAATTAATTCACAGATAAATTATTTAAAATATCTATTATGACCAAATAGTTGGGACTTTTAAACACTTCCAGACAAAATGCTGTTTCTTTATTAATTAAGAGGTATCCAGCAGCTTCAAGCAGTTTTCATGGAGGTACTGATCATGAAAAACCCAAGGACCAAGACTCAGAGGTGAGAAAGTGAGCTCAGACTTTTTACATTTAAAAAATTGTTTTTTTACTAAGTTAAAAATAAAAAAGAAGAAAGCACAGGTTTTTATTTCTACGTGCAAAGGACCCACCTGCAGTTGCTCTTCACGTTTCTCCATAGTCTGCTGCATGTTCTCCAATGTTCCTTCCAACTTTTGTAAATCCTCTTGCACTGTGCTGGGCAGTCCACCTTCAATCTGCAGCTGTTTAGCTTGGGAAATCTGCTGTTGCACATCTTGCCTCTTTGCACGGAGTCTCCTTGTCCTTTGCTAAAAAGATTCATCCAACAGGAATGATTAGACTTTTTAGCTCCTTTGGGAAACTGGCACAATGAAACCACCTTCTGCTTTTGCAGGGGTATGCAATGAGAATAACAGACAAAGGGATAAACTGTGGCAAGTATTCTTGAGAGTCTCATATATGCATCAAGTATATGCCTTGGGTTCAAAATGTGTATACAGCTTTTGTGGCATACAAAGAGGAGAGAAAGAGTGACAGTATGGCCGTTTATCCAAAGCAGTATTTTAGAAAGCAGAAGCCCCAACAGTTGAGCAACTGCAGCAGTAGCCACAGGTGCATGTATTCCTCGTGACTGCCTGGAAGCATCCAGGTCTGCTCTCCGCTCTTTGAGGCACAGGTTGGAGCCTCAGATTCATCAAAGCAATATATCAGCCTTCATTAGAGAGCAGCAGGGGGATGGCCAAGTTGCATAACTCTTTCTTTGATGCGTTTTGCTTTAGTAGCACTATCAGAAACTCCTAAGACTACCTCCCCTCTCCTTTCCTAACATGCCTGACCCATTGCCAGCCCTGCTAGGTAAGCTCACAGCTCCCTGCTCAGTTCTACTCTGGGTACCTTCAGGTCTTTGTCAAAGTCTGTTTATACCTTAACAGACTCCATATCAAAAGAAGAAGAAGAGTCTGAGAACTCAAGGAGAGGCTAACTATTCCTACTACCTCTACTATGACGGATAAGGAATGTAGAGTATTGAAAGAACAAATATGAACCTTAACATGTACAATAGCTTTTACAAACACCAAAGAGTTTAGGTAAGACAGAGGTAAGACATAGTAGTGCCTGGTCAGACAATAAGACATGTCTGACCTTACAGAAATAGATGTTAATATAAAACACTTATGTAATGCCCAAACATTGACAGTAAATTATTCTTATTCTTATTAGCTTTGAGCAGGCCTCAAAGTTAATTTCCCATATTTGGCCTTAAAACCTATGATTTGTGCTGTATGCAGCCCATATGATTTATTATTACTGTAGCCCGCAGATGTTTTGATCTATTATCGGTGCATAAAAAGCCTCCTGTTCTACTCCTGCAGACTGGAGGCCAATTTGTCGCTGCAGTAGCTAGTAGAGGAGGAGATAAGGCTAGAGGTACACCTCCCCTCCAGCGTTTAGAGTTGGGGCCACATCAAAGCTGCTGAAGTTGAGAAATTTCCAAAACCAGGATCAGGCCAAATTTACCATGATCAAATCTGACACGCAAACTTTCAAAAGGTAAAAAGAGAGAGACCACTTATTTGCAGAGTACACTTACCCAAAATTTCAAGTAAATGAAGCCTGTTTTACAGGTGCTCTGTGCCCAAAAAACCCACGTGAAATAAAAAGATATTCAATAAAAGTTGAAAAACAAGTTCATCCTTGGGCATTAACATTTAAAAAATACTGAGTACTTTTTTCATTATAAGAAATCAATACTAGGCCATATGAGACCATTTCCTTTATAGCTTTTCCAAGTTTAAATATAAAGAGTTATGCTAATGGACATAACAAAATTCAGTAATTACATACATTCTACCTTAAAAAAAAAAAACAAATATAGCCATGACTAATTGCCCTACCTGATGATGAAGTAGTAGTTGCTGAGCTTGTAATAAACTTTCTGTATCCAGGATCTTTTCAGCCTCTGCTTGGGCTTCTTTAGAGTTATTGATTAAGTCTTCAATTGCACTTTTAACTTCTTCTTTGTACTGGACACATTCTCCAACAGTGCCTAATGTCTTTTCAATCTACAATTATGGATAACTTTAAGTATTTCATGTTGAAAGGCACATCTATATTTTAAGGGCACATTTATATTTGGAATATTTTTTCAAAAAATATAGTAAGTTGTCTAAATTCAAACCATTTTTGTCTCCAGCGTTCTTAACAGACACCTTTAACTTTACATTGAAAGAGAGACTGTAGACTTAAAATGTGACCGAGGAGACCTTTGTCTTGTTTAGACATACTCCCTATTACATTGCCATACAGTAAATAGCTGTCTCTGACAGCCACTTATTGGTGACCACTTGGAAAATACAGACATTTACATAACAGGTGAGGTGGTGGATGCCCCATCCTTGGATGGGGCTCTGAGCAACCTGATCTAGTTGAAGACGTCCCTGCCCACGGCAGGGGGGTTGGACTAGATGACCTTTAGAGGTCCCTTCCAACCCAAACTAGTCTATGATTCTATGATTCTATGAAAATACACGTTGTCCTCACCCTTGCAAGCTGACCCAGATTCCGAAACACCTGCGCTAGTCAACTCACAAAAAATCTTGCTGCCTTTTGGACCTTCTAGAGCAGTGCCCTGGTGAATCACAAATATATTAAAATGCCCTGTTACCCTGGTTTTATAGACCACAATATGCTTGTGGTGCAATATCCAGTCTCAGTTTGCAGAATTTTATAAAGAAAAAGATATATCTATTCAACATATCAGAAAGTTCTTCCCTCTGCATGATTCAGCTAACAACTTGTAGCTGATTCTCAGTACAGGTTCTGTTCCTCAGACAGTTCCTGTGTTTTAAGGTTTTAATTGTCAAGTATTCTAGAACTAAACAACTCCTTTCTTTTCTTCCTCTCTTCCTTTCTTTCTTTCCAGTCCATATTCACTTTGGAGGGTCATTCAGATTCAAGCCGTTCTCTTTCCTGTTACGTAAATGTTTAGTATTTACCCTCCAGAAAACATTGCTGAACTTTGGAAATACCCAGTATCAGTCCTTGCCTAAACAGTCTCATCCATCTGGTTAACAAGCTGTAAATTCAGCTGTAAAGAGTATTCAGACTTCTAAGAATCAGCAGTCTCTTGACTATAGTATAAAGTGCCATTTAGATTATGCTTTTAAATTCAAAACAAGTTTAGATTCTAGTTCTTATTTTCCTTTTTTACCTTCGTGAACCTGTGCTCCCCTGAGTTCTGACTTTTGGAGGAAACAAAAAGCAAAAGTACTTTAATAAAAAATAAAATTAAAAAAAAAAAATTATCCTAAATTTTTTGCAGTCACTTTGAGTATAGTATAAAGTGCCATTTAGATTATGCTTTTAAATTCAAAACAAGTTTAGATTCTAGTTCTTATTTTCCTTTTTTACCTTCGTGAACCTGTGCTCCCCTGAGTTCTGACTTTTGGAGGAAACAAAAAGCAAAAGTACTTTAATAAAAAATAAAATTAAAAAAAAAAAATTATCCTAAATTTTTTGCAGTCACTTGGAAATCAGAACATTGGTTTCCCCAACTTTCCAAACACAGTTTTCACACCATAGAAGTTTAGCAAGTTTCAATAAATACATGGAACTTTTATACATTTGGAACACCTACAAGGCCTCCACAAGAATCAACATTAACAATGGAATTTGAAGCCTGAACTCTTTCTCTATCCTGAACTCTTTTTTCAAATAGATCTGTTCTGCCTTCTAAGTGTAAGATGTTCTAAGTTTCTCCTGATCTTTCTTTTTACTGTGAAAACTGTGAAGCAGTAAATTCCCTGAGATCCCACAGAACTCAAGGGTTCAGTGGAGTCTAAGAGGTTTTGCTTATCAGTTAGAAACTTCCCATGATTTCAGCAGTTACAGTATCTCATTATCATTCAGACCTCAGAGAACTGTAGACTTTTCCTGCAAATTCAGTGCATGATAGACATCCTTAATGATTTGAAACTACCTCACAGTAGTTCCTTTATTATTTCAGCATAAAAGATACATAAATGAAGATTAAAGTCAAATTCTATATCCACTAGCTGATGTACATCACAGTTTTGCCAATGTTCACAAAGAGCTGGTTTTAGAAAACTATCTTTTGCCTCTAAAACTACTGACATTTTGATTCCAGAAACATTTACTATGAAGCTTTCCAGTCCTGCAAAGGGAAAAAGATCCATTATCTTAATATAAGTATTTTTTGGCTGCTACTCTCAAAGCTTTGCTCCCCAAGGAGTACAAATGAGTTTTTCATTGCTGAATGCTTGCAGTTTAATTAAAAAAACACAGCAGGGAACTTATGCTTGTGAAGCCATGATTGACATCATTTCATGTGACACTGTAAATGGGGAGTTCTTGTGTCCCTCATACTGTACCTTAGCCAGCAAATCTAGGAGTCCCTTGAAGTCACTGGAAAGTTTACAAAGCTCATCCTCTGTCTTTTTGGCTTCCAAATCAGGACATACTGCGGTCAAAACAGCAAGTCTAGATTTCAGCCAGCTGTGATTTTCTCCTTGCTTGTTAATATGCTTCCTAATTTCCTATGGAAGAATCAAAACGTATTTTCTTCAAATAAACAAAATATATTAATGAGTGACATTCATGGCATCAGTTCAAAGATTAGTAGTGTAAACATGTTACCTTTGTTCTTATCTTGAAACACTATTTTTTATTTTGCATATATTTTTCAATTTGCATACCCTATATAATTCTGTTCCAGTCAATGGCTAGATTTTTGCATTTCCTCCACAGACTTTACTCCACTACTACCTATTAGACTGCTGTTTAATAAGTAGTAGTGGAGTACTTTTTCCTCACAAACTAACATTTTTACCTACAGATAGATAGATAGATGGTAGATACCATGTATATATTTTCCATATATTGACCAAATTTCTTAGTTATCATTTAAATCTTGAATGCTGACTTTCCCAAACATAAAATTTCATGTGATATAAGGTTTTGTGTATTTTTTTTCCTATTTAAATAGCTCTTTTTTCCCTGTTTTCACTCAGTAGTTCATTTGTATCTTTGTGCCAGTGCTGATGAGAAGTTACCGGCAGTGAAACTGCATGAGTAAATCAGAATTTTTGGAGCAGAAGCACCCATTAAGCTAAAGGTCTATCTGCTTTATCAAGGTCATCCTAATTATGTTTCTCTGCACAGTTAGCCTCATAACCTACTCATGACTTTCACACAAACTCCTACAGTACGTCACATTCCTATTTTTGCTCCTAGTATGTGAAATAAAAAAAAGAAATAAGGGTCAAGCTAGGTCCCAAGTGACACAATAAATTATTGCCTAAAACAAATATAACCAAACAAACCAGTCTTCAACTATTCTACCAATTCTGTTAGCAGTCACCAAAGAAAAAGTGAATGGTAGAATATCTTTGCCTACCCTGTTATACTATTGTAGAATAGAATTTTTATTATAGAAGATTTCCCTAAATGTAAGACAGTAACTTGATCCTTCAAAAACCCCCAGTGCAGACATTTTGGCTTTTCTTTGTGCAGCATTTTTAACTGTGCACGCAGCAGGATGAGGGGCAAGTATTTATTCTATCTGCTTCTATATTTTGGAAGTTCTGAATATACGGGTAAAGAGACCTGCCATTCTCTAAATTATTGAAAGTAGGAACTTCTGCCACACTTCGTTGCATGTGGAACTTTCTCCTTGAAATGTTTTTAAGATTACCAGGAATCAGCAGACCTACTATGGTCTCCATAGTAAAACAGTTGCACTACTTCAGAAAACAGTTTTATCCAGAGTCCCAGTAGCAATGACCGTAGCTTTGTTAGAATATAAGCCAAGGGCTCACCCCCACAGATGCTTTACATTGCTTGTATTTGGCAGTATCATTAACACTTTCCTTTATCTTCTTTAGCTCTCTTTCTGTTGACGAAATCCAATTTGCCAATTCAGAAAATCTGAAATAAAACATTACATAATGCAAAGCAAGGAAAAAAGTTACACAAAAATTGCCACCACCAAACAGTAACCTCTTAAATTTAAGTGAAAAATTATAAAATCCACTCAAAAACCCACTATAATTTGTGGAATTACTACATAAAGTATAGTTTTCTACTTGAAGCTAACAACACTATCATTCTTTACGTGGTACTGATCTATGACGACATTTAGAGGAGTGACCACACGTAAGGCTCTACAACACCCAGCTAGCAATTGAGCCGACACCTGTTCTTATAGCCCTTCCAGGTGTCTGAGTACTCTGTTAGCTTTACGTATGTGCTGTCTATCTGGGATTTGAGCTCCTTCAGGATTCGTTGGCTGCTTTCCAATGTAGCCCTCACTGGATCAGAAACTGGCAGTTTTTGGCACAGTTCTTCAATCCGTTGTAGCCTTTTCTCACACAGCTGGTAAGGTCCCTTGTCACCGAAGAACAACTGATGGGAGACAAAGCAGAAAATACAATAGAAATAGGATCACAGAATCATAGACTAGTTTGGGTTGGAAGGGACCTCTAAAGGTCATCTAGTCCAACCCCCCTGCCATGGGCAGGGACATCTTCAACTAGACCAGGTTGCTCAGAGCCCTGGCCAACCTGACCTTGAAGGTTTCCAGGGGTGGGGCATCTGCCACCTCTCTGGGCAACCTGTGCCAGTGTTTCAGCACCCTCAGCATAAAAAATGTCTTCCTTATATCTAGTCTAAATCTACCCCCCCTTTAGTTTAAAGCCATTCCCCCTTGCCCTGTTGCA